AAATAATTCAGAAACAACAAGAGAGTATGAAAATTCCCAGCTTTCTGACCGGACTGAAATGGATCACGATGAACTTCATTCAGAAATATCAGGTATTCCGACAAACTTAGGAAAAAACTTTCAATACAGGGATCTAGCAACATGGCCTAAACTAACGTTTAACAACATAAAATGCTTTTTGATTCAACATGGGCCAGAGCAAGAAAGAAGACAATTTTCCCATACACGCTATGTGATTTTGACAACAGAAAGCGACACTTCAGAACAAAATGGTATGAAAAAATTCATTTCAATGGTGAAAAATTTATTCGAATTGGTTGATGTACAGGAATAAAAAAGATTCATTGTTTTGTTTTTGCTGTTTGTTATTTTCATCAGCAAAAACCAACAATTTCTCAGAAATTTTAAAAGAATTTTGTGACTGGAAAAAAACTAAATTCAAGAGTTCCTAAACATGAAAACAACTATGAACACCAAAGATGCTATTCTGATTGGAAAACTCTCAAAAAAAAACTCAAAGAAGGAAAAACCATGGATTCTGATCTGCAGAGAGTTATCAAAGGAGAAATGAAAAAGTGGAAGACATCTTGAGAGTGATTGTTGATGTAATTTTGTTCTGTGCCATCGGTCAACAAAACAGTGGCATTTTTCTGAACTTGATTGAGCTAATAAGCAGTTATTATCCTTTAGTGGCTGAACACATTGCATCTGTTAAAGCAAAGAAAACTACAACGTCCTACTTTTCTCCTCGAATTCAAAATGAGTTGATTGAGTTACTCGGGCAGAAAGTCAGAAATGAAATATTGTCAAACATCAAAGAATCTAAATATTACTCTATTTTGTTCGACTGCATTCCTCCCATAAAGAGCAGATGATCCAAATAATTAGGTATGTTCACATCAATGATGAAACCTGTACAATTGGGGAAAGCTTTGCTGGCTTTATTGGGTGTCGCAAAAAAATCGGAAAACGTCTTGCAACTGAGATCACTTAAAAGTTAGAGAAAGACGGTCTGAAGATTCTGATTGCCGCGGCCTTGGTTATAACAATGGAGTCAATATATCTGAAAAATACAATGGCGTGGAAGCTCTTATCAATTCTCTTTGTGAGTCAGAAAGATTTGTTCCTTGTGCAGCTCACAAAAAATAAAGTTTTTCAAGTTTTGAAATCTATTATCCACAATCCCATGACGAATGATGTCATAATATGCAGTGCAAAAGATCTTATCATTCAAATTTATTTCAGTTTTTTGTGTTTATTGGATTTTTGGTGTCAAGTTCTTTCATTAATTGACCGGGAAAACAAACTGCTTTAGTATAAAAATGTTTCTATTGACATCGGAGCAAAAAAATGAAAAGATTGAAGGCTTACATTTAGAATTTGAGAGATGTTGGTGTGGACAAAATTATCAAAGATGCCGCAGAAATTGCCAAACAGAATGGAAATAAATTATTTTCAATTCTTACTTGGGTAATCGTGGTCATAACTTTACACTGTATAAACTCCAGCGCAATTTAAACAGAACCAAATATTTCTTTTCTAATTAAGTTGTTAATGTATAAAATAGTTTATTGGAGAATGTGGTGTCTACATTGTCTGTGCATTGTGTTTAAGAACCATCTTGATGTACTGCTTTGTTCTACTTGATACAATTTTGTTCAAACTTATTCCATCACTTAATACAATTTATTATTTCAGTAGAAATTTTAATGTATACTCTAGTATTAGTGGCCTTCAGATCTTATGCTGTTTTCAAATAAATTAATAAATAAATCTTTTAGTTCAATACTTCAATTTTTTCCTTCAGTTTGTCAGTTTTATCACCCAGACTCCTTAATATGTTACTTTTGAGTGCATCGAGTAATTCTTTAACTTCAGTTATTGATAACTTCTTTACTATTTTAAAAAAGCGTCTTAGAGGTTGTCCACAAATTACATCAAGCAATTTTTGACCATTTTTGACCCCTCAATTTAGTAACGATTTCCGTTTGAGTCGCTAACACCTCCCCCTCCCCCCCAAAAAAAACAAACAAACAAAAAAACAACAAACAAAAAAAAACAAAAAAAGCAGGACGACCCCTTATCTCTTTAAAGGTCGAAGCGCAAAAAAAAAAAAAAAAATTAATCTACCTCAGACACTGTCAGATAGAATAAAAAAAAACAACAACATCAAAACGTTATTTAGTTTACTATTAATGAGAGGTGTCAATGTTAAAATTTTGTTTTAGTCTAATTTATAACTTAGAGGTTTTAAAAAAGTCACTTAAACATGGTTACTACCAAAAGGTATTGTTGGTATGCATTTTGAACACATAGCAACCAAGTAAACGATCTATTAGTGGTGAATAATTACTTTTGATGAATTATATAAAAAACTATTCAATGAATAATATGAAAAATACTCAACCTGATAGTTATGTGGAAAATTAAAAAGAAAAAAAAAATTGATAAACATTTTAGAAATTATTACTTTAGTCCATTTAGTGATGACTTTGGTCACTCTGCGCTGAGCGTAATAACAGGTTAAGCATTGTAATTCCATAGGCTTAGGGTGACATATTTGAATATTTTTTACCTGGGGACCAGTAAGAAGTTTTCTAAACACTGTAAACTTGTTCATTTTATTGACGATGTTGAGAAAATGTTTTAAATTATGATAATGCTTCATAAATATGAAATAAGTATGAAAGCAATTTGGAAGATACCTTAAAATGATACATGGACACCCACATTATCTACAATTATACATCACAACAGTTTGTTACTGTCTAAAACCTTTTGGATCACATTTAACATTTTGAAATCTTATTTTGTTCATAACTAGAATAGTTTTAGTTGCTATGCAATCGTTTTGTTATTTAAACTAAAACTGTTCTAGTTATTTTGGTTCATAACTAAAATAGTTTTAGTTGCTATGCAATCGTTTCGTTATTTAAACTAAAACTATTCTAGTTATTTTGGTTCATAACTAGAATAGTTTAAGTTGCTATGCAAGTCACATAAATCAGTTATTTGCCAAAAATGTTGTCAGTTAATAACTGCCAAATAATTTGGAAGTTATTAACTGGCAGAATTCATTTTCCAGCTCTGCTTGTAGCTCCAATATTACCTTGTCAATCTTAGCATTATATCATAGCTGCATGCAGAAAAAATGGTTGATGAACTAGTAGTTCATAACTCTTTTTCTTAACAGTACTACGATGGGAACATCAGCAAATAATAGCTATATGGTGACCTATTTTCCTTATAAGTGATAAAAGGTTATCTGCTCTGACATTACATAACAAGATATTATAAATTTTTATTAATAATTGTAATGAATATGTATTTTAATTCTCTGATATATTTGGGTCATGGCAGTGCCGGATCAAGGGGGCTAGGGGAGCTTTAGCCCCAGACCCCACAAATTTAGGGGCCCCCGAAAATTTTAAAGGACTTTTTTTTATTTAGTCATTTTTAGACTCTTTTTTAAATGTCTTATAACATATGTCCAACAACATCTGTATATATAATGACATATAACTACATTGATCCAAAAATATCTGTAAATACACTGAGGTATAATAACATCTGTACAACAACATCTGAAATTTCATTGATGTATAATAACATCTCTGTAAAAAGTATACGATTATTACAGATTTAGTTACATCTTTTCAATTATCTAAGTATAACAACATCAGTGCAACTACATCTGGAGATTTTACAAATGTAGTTACATCTTTTCAATTATGTTGAGAATATCTAGTTGTACTATCTGTACAACTACATCTGTGAATTCTACAGATGTAGTTACATTTTTTCAATTACATTAAATATAACTACAAGATTTTATGAAATTATTAAATTAAATTGCATTATTTTAACCAGATGTAGTTACATATATGGTTTTTTTTTAAGATGTAGGTGCATCTAGAAAAAATTATTAAATAAAAATACATTATTTTAACCGGATTTAGTTTCATATATGATTTTTTTCAGATGTAGTTGCATCTTAAAAAAATTAAATATAGCTAAATGCATTATCTTAACTAGATTTAGTTACATATAAGTTTTTTTTCAGATGTAGTTACAGCTGGAGGAAATTATTTATTTCCTCCAGATGTAACTACATCTGAAAAATTTTGTTAATGGACTAGTAGAAAAATTACCAGATATAGTTAAATCTTGCTAAAGATGTTGTTAAGGGCTATTGAATTTCCAGATGATATTGGACAGATGCTGTTAGAGTAAAAAAAAATACAGATGATCTTGGACAAAAATGACCAGATGATCTTGGACTACTATACAGATGTTGTTGGACAGATTTACTCATTTTTTAAATTTTGTTCTCCAACATCTGAAACATGTTTTTCAAGTTACCAATCACCGAATAGCTTTAATATTGATATTATATTTGAGCTTTATTTGTTATAGATTTTTTTAAATTTACTTTTAATATATTTTTTGTAGATATAAAATTACAAATATGCTCAATGTCATATTTAGTTTTTTTTAGGTTACTAATTTTGGCTCTCAAAGCTTTTATCATTTCTTTTTATTTAACTTAAAACTCCAAATTTATAGGGCATGCTGTTTAACATGTTTTTCACAAATGCTATCTTGCTCTTGTGTTCTGTTGTGAGCTAGATAAATGAAAAATAAAGCAGATTTTTTTTAATACCTTCTTTCCCCCTAAGAGTCAAATAAATATGCTTATATAATGCCTATGTGCTATAAATTGCAGAAGTTAAAGGTTCACTAGTTGAAATACTGATAAAGTCAAAAGATGAGTAAAGAATGTCGAAAAGTATTTAATAAGTTCTCAATATTTTAAATACTATTCGACTTACCATAAGTCATCTTATTTTTTTAACTAAATCGGACAAATCAAGTGAATATAAGTTCAAAATGACTTTAAATTGTACTTTTTAGGCAAATAGACACTATTTTCAGATAAATTTGGGCTACAAAATACTACCTTAAAATACAATAAAATTTTTTTTTCCTTTATTTTCTAGATTCAATATTTGTTCCAGAAATCGTAAATAATTACACTAGCACAATTTTAAAGGACTTTTATGATGAATTTGTAATATCATTTGTTATCTTATCAAATGGCAATTCAACCTCATCAATTATAGCTATTTTGGATAATAATAGGGATGTGTTAAAGTTTGATATTTTTGATGGTCTTTTAAATATTGTTACATCCAATCATATTTTTCAAATCAAAATAACAACTAATACATGGAGTTCAATTGTAGTTTCTCAATATTTTGTTAATGAAAACAGTACTTATTCTATTACTGTTGCTGTTGATGGAACTGTTGAATTTTACAATGATAGTATTCAACCAATGATATACTCTAATAGTATTTTGTATACCTTTGTTGATTGCTGTTTGAAATCTTCTTGTGATTATGCATCAATTAAAAATTTATCAGTATACAGTAATACACAAGGTATATATTGTTTTATAATTTTGGTATTTGTGCATAGTTTATATATATTTGCATTTTATGAAGTTTTTTTTCAAACCAAGTTTTTATTTTTTTATATTTTGTTTGTATTTATGTAATCCGTTCAAAATTTTTATAAAGTTTAATATTTTATATAATTTAGTTATATTTTATCATGTACAGGGCTCAATTTTAATGTAAAAAAGTATTATTGCAAAAAATATTTTATAATTGTTTTGTCCTTTTTCCTTGTTTGCATATGATGCTTTTTTATGGCGTAATAGTTTGTTCTATGAAAAAAACCATTTTGGAAAAGGGTATGTAAACAAAAACTTATGCTTTTATACAACTTCTTGTAATAAGATTTACTTTAACATCATTAACTTTCATTAATCATATTTCTGCTAAATCATTTGTGTTTATATTAGTAAGTTAATATTAACACATATTTTTTCAAAAGATTTTTATATTTAAGGATCATTTACAAATAGTATAAACTAGTCTAAAGTAATTATCTAATGTAACATCACTGTCATTGATGGAATTTCTAAATGAAAGACTGATTTTTATGAAACATTTTTTTTATTAATTTAAATTGATCCCATTACCACCTGGCAATGGCATCAATTTATAATAAAAAAAATAAAAATAATATTTCTACATTTATGTTTACAACCGCAATAATCAATTATGTATAAAATGTCATGAACATTATCATAAAATTTCAATCTAAATATTTCACAAAAATAAACACAATCAAGTTTGTTATTTATTCAATATTTTATTGCCATAAAATAATAAAGGAGAAATAAATTAGGTTAAATAAAATTTTTCACAGACGGTGTGACCGCTCTTGATGGCCCTGTATATATATATATACATATATATATATATATATACATATATATATATATATATATATATATATATATATATATATATATATACATATATATATATATATATATATATATATATATATATATATATATACATACATATATATATATATATATATATATATATATATATATATATATATATATATATATATATATATACATATATATATATATATATATATATATATATATATATATATATATATATATATATATATATATATATATAATATATATATATATATATATATATATATATATATATATATATTGATTATTGATAAGATTATCGATAAGATTTTGTATAATTTAATTAAATGACATCATTATAACTTTAAGGACAGTTTCATCTCGCATTTTTCATGGTGCAGTAGTTACAAAATATTTTAATATATATTAAAATAATTTTTTATTAATTCAAAACATTCTATTTCAATCTTTTAGTGGCCAAATAGGACAAGACATGAAAGATTTTTAAAATTGAATTTAAATATTTTTTGCATATATTATGCTGTGAAAAGTTATTTATAGAGCCTTATTGAGGGCAATAATAAATTTATACTTTGTTTCTAATTTATTTATACCTGAGAATACACATCAAAAAAAAAGATTTTAAGTTTTAAGTCAGAGTTCTCCAAATATTTTTATGGGACTTTTATTAGTGTCTCTCCAGGATACTGTATTTAGAAGCTTAAAAATCTAAAGGTAGCTATTTAAAAAAAAAATTATTTTGAAAAAATTTCGTTAAAAAAAACAACAAAAATTTAAGTGCATCGGAATTTTTTTCTAAGGAGAGTAAAAGGGTTGAATTTTTTTAAAAATATGTTTGAATACTTATTACCCTAACTCATATACTTGATTTACTATTCAACATCACGGCAAAATCTTGTTTATACTGTTAGCTAACAATATAAACAAGATTTGTTTATACTGTTAACTAACAATTTAAAAAAAGTATTTGCAATCATCCAAAGTTTTAAATTTATAGACATAAATATATAATACCTCATTTTTTCAATCTATAAATTAGTAGTTGAACCATTCAACAATTCTTTTGCTTCTAAGAGAGTGCCTTGAACTTGTTTGTGAAATATTGAACCGTTGGATTATTGGCTTCATTTTTGAATGAGTGGATTCAGATACCTGTTTATTGTATCGTCCAAAAGAATGGCCAGTAAGTTCAATAAACTGTTGCAAGTGAGTTAAGATTAAGTGTATTTCCCACTTTACTGTAAGTAATAATATGCTAGTATAATATTAATAATAAAAAAATCATTTTAAAAATAATTTGTTAAAAATGAATTTGCTTTAAATTTTTAATGAATTTACTGTACCTTTAAACACTACTCCTGTGTTGCATTGTAGGAACAACTAAAGTCAGTTAATAAAATAATTAGAGTTAAGATAACTTCCAAAGGTTAATATTGACTTGTTAATATTGACTTTTTATAAAGAAAAGCTTAACTTTACAACTCTGACCCCCTCCCCTTTCATACAAAATTTTACAAAATTTTAAATTCATTTTTTTCAAAAATGGTAGAGTTTAGAAAATTGAAAAAAAAAGTAGCCCTTTTGACTTATAAGCTTCTAAATACAGTATCCTGAAGTGTCACTTATAAAAATTCCATAAAAATATTTGGAAAACTTTTACCTAAAACCAATTTTTTTGATATGTGAGGAGGGTCAAGATTTTGGAGAGAAGACAGAGATACCCTGGGCTTGTGTAGTTATTCATTTTACTGTGCTGTTAATGCCATCATAAGCTGACTTACCATGGCTAGTAGCAAAAAAGTTTTTAAAGTTTTTATATTGTGCAATTATTCATCAGTGAAGTATTTAATAAAACTAATTTGTAGAATGTTTGCGTTAATGTAATTGGTAATGAGCTGTTGTTTATTATATAAAAATATACATCATGCTCAACGTCATCAGAACCTGGATTTCAAAAAAATACTTTTTTTATACACCCAGTATAATAGTTCTTGGTTTAATATAAAATTAAATTTATTACTTTATTTTATATTAATTATTTTTAATAAAAAGTTTCTGTTAAAGATAACTATTATACTAGTTCACAAGCCCCTGAATAACTATCCAACTAGATAAACAACTATTTACAGCTCAGTAATAGTTGTTTATCTAGTCGGATAGTTATTCAGGGGCTTGTGAACTAGTATAATAGTTATCTTTAACAGAAACTTTTTATTAAAAATAATTTATATAAAGTAAAGTAATAAATTTAATTTTATATTAAACCAAGAACTATTATACTGGGTGTATAAAAAAAGTATTTTTTAGTATATTTTGCTTTAAAGAGATCTTTGGATTTGAGACACTATCTAGTACTTCTATCAGTGTGTTGCATTTGAACAGCTTTAAGCTAACCTCTGAAAATAGATTTTATATATTCTTTTTATTTATTCTTGCATGCAACTATGTCTCCCCAAGACTAAAGATACTATGATTGAGGAAGATTAAAGATTGAGGAGGTATTTTTTATTTTTATTTAACTCATTCTCTTTCAACTTTAAATTTCAGCATGGAGAAATAAGTTATTAATACAAAGATATTCATAAAGTTCAATTGATTTTCAAGCAATCTTTGTGAAATCAACTTGAATACAGCAATTCACTATGCAATATTTTTTATCTGGTACAACAAGACAAGCTCATAGTACCAGATAATAAGCTTTGTCCAAATTGTAATCATAAATTAGCATCAAGTGAAAAATCAAAAGAGAACAAGTTGAAGACGACATTTATTAAAGATGATAAGGAGAAAGAAGTTATAATAGAATCAATAATATCATTGCTCAAAAGTATTTTGTGTGAACTTGAAGTGTCCCCTTTAAAGGTTTATTTAAGCTAGTCTTCTAATAAACTTTTAAAATCTTCTTTAACTTATCTTTCATTTTTGGAAAGAGAAAGTTATAATAAGTTGTAGAAGCAGTTATTAAATCTTGTTGCACCAAATAACATAGAAATGCTAATGAGATTCAAACCAAAGCTGATGATTTTCATATTTTCAACACTTTCTTGTTGAAAGTATGAAAAAAACTTCAAGTTTCTAACAAAAAGCAACAACTTTAAAAATTGACTTCAAAATCTTAATCTATCAGAAAAGCAGTAAAAATGTTGTCAGTTTCCAAAATCAAAATTTAAAAGTTGTTACACAACAAAAAAGGCATCATAGCATACCCTGAAAACAGCAATGAATCATATATTTTAGAATTTTTAAAACTTTAATGTGATTACAATTGAAATGCCTGGTAAAAAAGGCTATTTTAGTATTAGTAAAAATTGATTAAATGTACCATTGAGGAGCTCTATGCAGCATATAAGATAAAGCAACCAGATTTTAAATTGGATTCCCCAATTTTGCAGTCTTTGGCCAAAATGGTGTATCCTTGCTGGCCTTAAAGGTACACATTTTGTTTGATTTTGTTTGCAATAAAGTATGAAATTGATGTTGAGTGTGTAGGCCTTGAAATACATAACCATTGAAATGATTGTTTGCTGCAAAGAATCAAAAATTTGTATGATTCAAAGATATAACATTTTTCCCATCATACAAGCTGAGCAACAGCTTGTATGATGGGAAAATTTTTACAACAGTGCATGGTCGGCAAGAATACATTAAAGGTTAGAAAAAATAGAAAACATTTAAATAGAATTGTATTATACATTAAAGAATAGATTTTTAAGGTCAGGGAATCTATTTCTGACTTTTATTTGCTGAATTTTGACCACTTTGACAAGCACATTATATAATTTTTAGGGTCAACTTACATGATTTTGGATCTGAAGTCTTCTCGTGAAATCCAGGTTCTGATGACGTTGAGCATGATGTATATTTTTATATAATAAACAACAGCTCATTACCAATTACATTAACGCAAACATTCTACAAATTAGTTTTATTAAATACTTCACTGATGAATAATTGCACAATATAAAAACTTTAAAAACTTTTTTGCTACTAGCCATGGTAAGTCAGCTTATGATGGCATTAACAGCACAGTAAAATGAATAACTACACAAGCCCAGGGTATCTCTGTCTTCTCTCCAAAATCTTGACCCTCCTCACATATCAAAAAAATTGGTTTTAGGTAAAAGTTTTCCAAATATTTTTATGGAATTTTTATAAGTGACTCTTCAGGATACTGTATTTAGAAGCTTATAAGTCAAAAGGGCTACTTTTTTTTTCAATTTTCTAAACTCTACCATTTTTGAAAAAAATGAATTTAAAATTTTGTAAAATTTTGTATGAAAGGGGAGGGGGTCAGAGTTGTAAAGTTAAGCTTTTCTTTATAAAAAGTCAATATTAACAAGTCAATATTAACCTTTGGAAGTTATCTTAACTCTAATTATTTTATTAACTGACTTTAGTTGTTCCTACAATGCAACACAGGAGTAGTGTTTAAAGGTACAGTAAATTCATTAAAAATTTAAAGCAAATTCATTTTTAACAAATTATTTTTAAAATGATTTTTTTATTATTAATATTATACTAGCATATTATTACTTACAGTAAAGTGGGAAATACACTTAATCTTAACTCACTTGCAACAGTTTATTGAACTTACTGGCCATTCTTTTGGACGATACAATAAACAGGTATCTGAATCCACTCATTCAAAAATGAAGCCAATAATCCAACGGTTCAATATTTCACAAACAAGTTCAAGGCACTCTCTTAGAAGCAAAAGAATTGTTGAATGGTTCAACTACTAATTTATAGATTGAAAAAATGAGGTATTATATATTTATGTCTATAAATTTAAAACTTTGGATGATTGCAAATACTTTTTTTAAATTGTTAGTTAACAGTATAAACAAATCTTGTTTATATTGTTAGCTAACAGTATAAACAAGATTTTGCCGTGATGTTGAATAGTAAATCAAGTATATGAGTTAGGGTAATAAGTATTCAAACATATTTTTAAAAAAATTCAACCCTTTTACTCTCCTTAGAAAAAAATTCCGATGCACTTAAATTTTTGTTGTTTTTTTTAACGAAATTTTTTCAAAATAATTTTTTTTTTAAATAGCTACCTTTAGATTTTTAAGCTTCTAAATACAGTATCCTGGAGAGACACTAATAAAAGTCCCATAAAAATATTTGGAGAACTCTGACTTAAAACTTAAAATCTTTTTTTTTGATGTGTATTCTCAGGTATAAATAAATTAGAAACAAAGTATAAATTTATTATTGCCCTCAATAAGGCTCTATAAATAACTTTTCACAGCATAATATATGCAAAAAATATTTAAATTCAATTTTAAAAATCTTTCATGTCTTGTCCTATTTGGCCACTAAAAGATTGAAATAGAATGTTTTGAATTAATAAAAAATTATTTTAATATATATTAAAATATTTTGTAACTACTGCACCATGAAAAATGCGAGATGAAACTGTCCTTAAAGTTATAATGATGTCATTTAATTAAATTATACAAAATCTTATCGATAATCTTATCAATAATCAATATATATATATATACATTATATATATATATATATATATATATATATATATATATATATATATATATATATATATATATATATATATATATATATATATATATATATATATATATATAATATGTATATATATACATATATATATATATATATATATATATATATATATATGTATATATATATATATATATATATATATATATATATATATATATATATATATATATATATATATATATGTATGTATATATATATATATATATATATATATATATATATATATATATATATATATATATATATATATATGTATGTATATATATATATATGTATATATATATATATGTATATATATATATATATACAGGGCCATCAAGAGCGGTCACACCGTCTGTGAAAAATTTTATTTAACCTAATTTATTTCTCCTCTATTATTTTATGGCAATAAAATATTGAATAAATAACAAACTTGATTGTGTTTATTTTTGTGAAATATTTAGATTGAAATTTTATGATAATGTTCATGACATTTTATACATAATTGATTATTGCGGTTGTAAACATATATGTAGAAATATTATTTTTATTTTTTTTATTATAAATTGATGCCATTACCAGGTGGTAATGGGATCAATTTAAATTAATAAAAAAAATGTTTCATAAAAATCAGTCTTTCATTTAGAAATTCCATCAATGACAGTGATGTTACATTAGATAATTACTTTAGACTAGTTTATACTATTTGTAAATGATCCTTAAATATAAAAATCTTTTGAAAAAATATGTGTTAATATTAACTTACTAATATAAACACAAATGATTTAGCAGAAATATGATTAATTTTATTATTTTAAGTAGAAAAAAAAAAATATTAAAGTATTCAAGATTTTACTTTTATTTTCAACATTATTTTTAATCTACTTTTTTTAGTTATATGGTCTGATTGGAGTAAGTGGTCACAGTTCAAACAATCTTGTATTATAACTAGAACTCGTAACTGCAGCAATAATCAATGGGTATATTGCATTGGAGATAGTATTGAGAATACAAGTTTTTGTAAAGGTATTTAAATCTGTTTTCTCAAGATGTTTAGTAAGTGGTCTTACCCATTTTATGGTCTTACCCAAGTTTTTTTATATTGTTTTTATTTTTATTATGGTTCTTTATTATTTTTTAAAAATTTATTGCAGATTATTTAAATTATTTTTTTATGCGAAGTTATGAAAAATATCACAAACTTGCATTAAAATACGAACTTTTTTTTTCATTTCATCCATTTTATTATTTGATTATTGCTTACTGTAAATGTTTTACAAAATCATAGAAAATTAAAAAAAATTGAATTTTAAAAATTATGTAACAAATAAAGTGTTTTGTTTTTTAAAACATTTTTTCAGTATATATTTTTAAAATATTATTTTTTTATTTAAATTACATATTTTATAAATAGCTTAAAGAAAAACAATTTATGCACTAGTTTTTTGAATTATGAAGAATAACAACTCTGATGAAAGAATCTCTGTTAACTAAGAAGAGTATTATTAGTTTAAGCAAAGTATTTGTTCATAAAGTAGAAAGTTATGCATTGTTACTTACAGCAGCAGTCATATAATTTTTTTTATTTTTGTTTAGAGTACTAAATAGTTCCAAACCTAAATGAAACCAAAATCCCTTTACTCTCAGTATTGACAAATTAGCTGGATGTTATTTGCTCTAGTCTATTAGAAATAAATGATTCCAAAATAGCTAAAAAATGCAAAATAACTTTTTATTTAATACTATTATGCATTTTATTCGGTTCTAGTTTTTTGCTAAATGAATTACTTTGCTATAAGTTGGGATTCGTATCAGTGTTTAAGGTGGAAAACTCCTTTACTTATCTTAAATTATCAAAATCAAATCTTTTTGTCAAAAATAAAATTGATTATTTGAAAGATCAAACAAAGCAAAGTTGTAAAATTGTAATAGTCATGTTGTCATGAAAACCTTTATATTGCAAGTTCTAATGCAATATTCAAAAGAAAACATTATCCAATGATAAAAAAGTTTAATATAAGCAACCTGCATATTTTAAAAGTAGCTATTTTTAGTTGCTGAAACTGTATTTAAATTCTAAAATGTTTTATAATTTACTTATTGCAGATTGCAATAAAATTATAGAAAAAAAATGTTATTAAAAATAATAACTTCTATATTTAACATAAAACCCTACATAAATCTCTGATTAATTTTCAAAATAAATATATATAGAACTGATGAATCTCTCTGAAATAAGTTTATACTAAAAAAAGCATTTCAATTAGTTTAAGCAGAATTTAAATACATTTGAGAGCTCATAAAAACAGAATAAAAGTACAAAATGTAATAAAAAAACATGTTTAGTTTAATTTTTTTATAATAGAAATTGTGTTTATAATTACATTTTTGTTTTTTTAGGGCAGGTTATAAAGCATTTATATAGAAATATTTTCATAATTACATTTATGTTTTCTTAGGGCTGCTTTTCTGAGTCTTCTTAGGTGTGATTAACCTGCATTAAAAAAAATAAACCATCAATTTATTTGTGGTTAAGAGGAGCAAACAATTTGATTACCCTTTAAGTAAACTTTTATGGTAATCTTCCTAGTTGTAGTACCACACTAAAAATACTCAATCTTAATTTGAAAATAGGATAGTGCCAAGAAGAGCATAAAATTCTAAATATTTGGTGCATTTCATTTATTAATAGTTGCCATTCAACTTTTCTTCCCAACGTTTGGATTTTTACCTATATGTATAATTGAATTGCAATACCTACACCTCATAAAGCTTTTAAGTGATCCCTCTAATAAGCTGATCTCACTTCACTACAGGTTATCAGCTCTGCTGGTCTACTAACATTTTTTACTGCAGATAAAGTTTCTTTACTTCAGTTAAACTCTTTCAGGAATTGAACCACAACTATTTTTACCTCAATTGTCAAGTGTTTTTCGATCTAGCCTTTTAATACAGTTTTTACTAACTACATCCTAATTAACCTAACTGTTTGTTTTAAAACTCTTTTTTTCATTTCTTTTTTTCTTTAAATCTAGCATACCAATTAATATTTACTGTCATCTGATTGTATGCTTTGTATATAGCTTATTTTACCTTACACACTGTACACAAAATTTGATCAGATTTTTTTTTAAGGAATGCAAAAAAATTGAGTTAAATTATATTACAGGTTGACAATGTTTAAAAAGTCTTAACATTCATTGCCACAAAACTAGATTTTCTAGAAAACAAGGTTTTGTTCAATTCTTTGTGAAAAACAAGAAGAAATAATATGGCGAGCAAATTTAAAGAAAAAATATTGTTCACTAAAATGCTATTTTCAAAATATATTTTCAATACTATAACACTCAAGGTTGGTGGTTTGTTTGGTGTTAATGAAAAAGATTCAAGCAACAATGGAAAATCTTGACTGTGGCCTCATCAGCTATGAAAAAGTATAAAATCTTGAAACCAAAAAAATTCATTAAATTTTGGCAACCTAAAATAATAATAAAAGTAGTAATATTTCAGTATTGGTCAGGATCAGGACTATCATTATTGCCTAGGTAACATGTATAATCCAGTATAATCTTCAAATGTCCTACTACAATTTATAACTCACTTTTCAAGGCAAATGCTAGGTGACGTAACGTTTAATAAACAATATTTGTATGTCTCTTTTATATAGACTTGAAAAGATTTATTACAAAGCGTATTTATTGCATAACGAGGTAAATTCATTTGAAATTTTAATTACTTTATTCAAAAATTATTACTTTTTTTTAAATTATGTTATGAAAGCGTAAGCAGAGGAAAAACTCAATTTGATATACTTTAAAAATTTTATTTAAAAATGCTAAGCGTTTCATATTTTAATCCAATCAAGACGTGCGTTTTACATTTTAATCTAATTACAACATATTCTATATTTCATCAAAGTGAATTAGAATTAAGCATTCTAGTTGGCTTAAAATACATTTATAATGTATTTTAAAAGTCGTTTTTTCAAAAGTTGGATTTTCTAAGCGACATTAATATCATAACAAATGCTTATATAAAATTGTTTTAAATTGAGTTTGGGCTGACATTTGGGGGCTCATACCGGTATGCAGGTATCAAAATCGGCCTGGGTATGTCGCTGATATATATATATATATATATATATATATATATATATATATATATATATATATATATATATATATATAATATATATATATATATATATATATATATATATATATATATGTTAAAAAGCAGAAAAAATATGCATGTGTTGCAAAAGAATTTAACATTATAGTATTTTTTAGATTACGTTCACATAAAAAATGAGTTTAATCCGGAAAAGGATACAATAATTGGGATTTTAAATATTTTAAGAAAGGAATACATTGTTTCTTTTAATGTGAAGCCTTTTGAATACAAGTCTGGATTTAAAAATATTCTTCATATAACCTTGGGTAATAATATGAATGTTTATGGCGATAGAAATCCTGGTGTATGGTTTCTTAATGATGCTTCTGGAAAGCTTCGTATTCATACTGCATTAAGTAATGATTCACGTTATTATTTTGACACAAGTACAAAGCTTATTACAAATAAATGGTCAAATATAAAAATCTATCAAAAATTGCACAATGGTAGTTATTGGTTTTTCGTTGATCTAAATGGAAACAATATTCATGCTATTCAAAATTTGAATGCAACCGATTTTGTAAATATGAAAGTTTATGTTTCCGATCCTTGGTTTGATGCACAAAATTGTTCTATGTCTGACCTACTTATTATTAATGCAGATGCTGGTAAAATATTTTTTTATTGTTATAATAACTAGAAATAATTAGCTTTATAGTTATTTTGCATATATGCACATACATATATGTATGTATATGTATGCACATACATATATGTATACATATATATATATATATAAATATATATATATATTATATATATATATATATATATATATATATATATATATATATATATATATATATTTATTTATTTATATATACATACATGTATTTATATTTATACTATATATAAGTAATACATTATATATATATATATATATATATATATATATATATATATATATATATATATATATATATTTATACATTTATATATACATACATGTATTTATAATTATACTATATATAAGTAATACATTATATATATATACCTATATATATATATATTATATATATATATATATATATATATATATATATATATATATATATATATATATATATTTATATATATATATATATTTTACATTAAAAGTCTCTTTTTACTATAATATAATGATATATATATAATATATATATATATATATATATATATATATATATATATATATATATATATTTTACATTAAAAGTCTCTTTTTACTATGATATAATGATATATATATATATATATATATATATATATATATATATATATATATATATATATATATATATATATATATATATATATATATATTATATATATGTTATTTATATTTGTATTTATATATATTATTTATAAATAAAACTGAATATTTTTCACAACTATTAGTTTCATGCTAAATGCAATCATCAGGTGTAAATATGTTTTTTTCTCATAAAAATAATAAATCTGTACAAAAGAAAATGAGTTAAAAAATCTAACCTTTTGGTTTGTGGTTGTCCAGCAAAAACTTGTTCTCATAGCGACATTTAGATATTAGTTTGTTTTTTTTGTTTAATAATTCTTGAGGATTTTTATACAATAAAATAATTAGTTTTTCGTATAAGCATAACAAGCATTTTTTGGTTACGTTGTTGTACGCGGGGGCATATTTTATGATGGACCATTTTAAATTGGGTGTTCTTTTTGTTTTATTTAGTGTATCCCATATATATTTAGAAAGCGTGGTTGCATTTGTGAGTTTTTTATTTTTGAAGGATTGCTTGTGATTCGCCTATCTAGT